GCATTTATAGGAGACAAAATTAAATTGCATTAAAGATTTAATGTCCCCCCTGAGATCCCTGCTACCCACAGGAACACCAGTACAGGTGACTGTAACTGAAAGGCTGAACCAACCCAGTTCTCTGTTTCCATGTGTGTGGCTGGGGGATGGTTTTGAGGAGGGTCCAGCCCTCTGCTCATACCAGGCCTCTCTTTCAGGCATGGGGAAAGCAAAGTGCTTGGGAACAGGGAGCATCCCGTGGAAGGCAGGACTGGGGGCTGATGAAGCTGATTCTTTGCAGAGCGAGTGCTCAGGGCAGGAGGGTTCACTCACACCAGTGCCACCTGTGTGCTGTTTTATGGCTCCATGCTGATATTAAATGGGATAAAGTTTGTTTTTACATTTTACTGCAGGTCTGACTGTCCCGATCCTGGACTTCGCTCAGCGCTGCCAGAGGGATGGTTCCCACTAGCACCCAGCCTGCTGGGGGTTGTGCACAAGATGGGAAAAATGCCTTCTTCATCCAGAGAGAAGGGATGTAGGGATGCACCCAGGGCCAGGGACAACAGTGGGAAGGGGCAGGCAGAGGGAGTGTCACTGCCAGGAGCAGCAGCAGCCCTCTCCAGCATATTTCAGGAAGCAGCACGGGTTTCTGCTACACTGAATTCACAGGTATGAGGAGCTGCTGGCAGCGGAGCTGAGACTTGCAGCACATCATGGACTGCCCGACTTCTTCTGAGGAAGGAAAAGACATTCCAGCAGCTACCCAGGGAGGTGTGACATAGGTGAAGCATAAAATCACAGAATCATAGAATCCTGGAAGGGTTTGGGCTGCTGGAAGAGACCTTAGAGCTCATCTCGTTACACCCCATGCCATGAGCAGGGACACCTTCCACTACCCCTGGTTGCTCCAAGCCCTGTCAAACCTGGCCTTGAACACTTCCAGGGATGAGGTATCCACAGCTTCACTGGACAAACTGTGACAGTGTTTTACCACCCTCACAGCCAAGAATTTCTTCCTAATTTCTAATCTAAATCTCCCCTCCTTCAGTTTAAATCAATTAAAGCACTCCCAGGCTCCCACTTGTGTTCCCTGTTTGTGGGGTTCCTGTTGCTGAGCCTCAGCGTGTGCAGCTGGTGAGACCCAGCTCCCTTTCAGTGATATTTCAGCAGCACTGACAGCAGGAATGTGCTGAGTTTGGCAAACCCAATGGCATAAACACATCCCAGATCCCCTGGACCCCCAGTCCCCTGCACTCCCACCTTTGGGAGAGGTAATCCTGGGTCAGGAGTCTGCACAAGCACTGCAAAGTAGCTTGGGCCAGGCTGCTCTCTGCCAGGGAAGTCCCATCGCTGCTCCATGCTGCCTGTGAAGCACCACTGAGCTGGGCTCTGGGCCACACTCCTGTGACCTGGGAGGTTGGGAAAGCCGCTGGCACAGTGCCTGGCTTTGGAGCCAAACCCATCTGTGTCCAGACTCCCCGGCTGCCCCGTGCACTCCCAGGTCTGGCCAAAGTCAAACTGTGAATGCCAGCAGGGATTGCTCCAGCTGAACCCTGCTTTTAGTTCCATCAAGGATGGAGAAACTGCAAGCAAAATGGGGAAAATATCTTTTTGTCCTTGTTTTGCTGCCAGTGCTGGCAGGAACATGGTGCCCATCCAGGGGCTTACACTGATGGAGCTGAGGAAGCCAGGTCCTGGGGCAATCCCAGCATCTTCCCTTCTCCACAAGGAGGCAAAGCCAAAGTTTGCTGAGTGTTAGAGTCCAGGGAATCTGCTCCTGCAGGGCTCCAGGGCAGGATGCCCTGGCCTGAGAAGGTGGATGTGCCTGGATCCAGCAGCCAGCTGGTGCTCTGGGGTCAGCTCAGTGACACGGGACTGGTGCCGCTGGGAAAACACAGCGACTGTTGGAACAGAGGCTGCCCCTGGAATGTGCAAGCTGGCGTTTGCTTTGCAGAGGCACTCGCTGCCCTCATCCAGCAGATCCAAAGGGGAGTGGGAACACTCAGGCGGAATGCACGGCCCCGGCACGGCAGCATGGCCGGGGTGCTGGGCTGCACAGGGCACGGGTGTGTGTCCCAGCACATGGATAGAGCAGGACCTTCACAGAGCAGCAGGATGGACAGGAGACAGTGGGGCTGGACACAGGTTCCACTGCGACAAAGCAAGGCAAGGAACCAAGGAGCGGAGTAGGGACATCCAAACACAGGGACAGCACAGAGCCAAGTGGAAAGGGAGCAAAATGTTCCCAGCAACTGCTCTGTGGGACTCAGGGTCCAGGACCACCCAGTGGGCAGCTACCCGGGAAGGGGCTTGGCCAGCTGCCAGCTGTTTCAGCAGGGACGAGGCTTTGTCACCTCTCCCTGACACTGTTTGATGGTTGGTTTCATTCCCAAAAACTTAAATTAAACAACTTGATCCTCTTACGTGCAGGAAACACCTCTCCAGCTGGCCCAGAATGTCCTCCAACAGTGGCAGCTCCCATCGAGAGCTCCCATGGGCAGCTCCCACATCCCTGTGTGTTAACCCACTGCTCACCACGCTGCCTCCAACCACAAGTAGCCAAACCTCACAGCCTCAGGAAACATTTGGGATGAGGGTCTGCCAGTGTGGGGGGGAAGAGCTGAGCCCCCTGGCTGAGCCTGAGCCCCCCAGCTGGGCCTGACACAGCTCCTGGCCCCCTGTCTCTGCAATGCTGAACACAGAGGGGATGGCAGGCACAGCCTGGGGAATTATGAAAGTCAGGATTAAAGGGCAGGGGGGGAGCAAAACGCCCTGGATGTTTTTTGGCAGGCGATGAAAGGAAGGTTTAGCAGCAGCTGCCAGCTGGGAGCTGATGGAAGGACAACTGTGGGTCCGGCTCCATGCCGGGCTCCCCAGCTCAGCAGCCATGGTGCATCCTCAGCACAGCCACTGACTCTCCCTGCAGCAGAGCAAAGGGACTCACACACCTCCTGAGCATCCCTGCTGCTCCTCTGGGCAAAGGGAGGGATGGAAAACTGCTCCCAGATGGGAAACCTTGCAGGGAAAGCACCGCTTTACAGCAGTGCCTGCCAGGTCTGGGAGCTGCTGCCGCCCAGGAGAGAGAAAAGATGCTTCAGCTGCTTCCCAGCTGCCTCCCAGACAGATTTAGCTCTGGGGCGGGCACAGATGGGGCTGCAGGGCTGGACCTCCTGTGAGCCACAATTGGAGCCCTCTCAGCAGAGCCAGGGCCTGCAGTTGCTAATAGAGATAGAGCAAATTAAGCGAACTTAATTCGGAGGGTCACCACACAATGCTCCCACCTGTTTTGCTGTTCCTCAGCCATCTGCCACCCCTCCACCTGATGCAAAAGGGGCTTTTTTCCCTTTCTCCTGATGCCAGGGCCTTTGTTAAGTCGTGTTGTCAGGCTGCAGAAGCAGGACGGTGGCAGCAAGAGCTGAGCTGGGGGGCACATGCAAACTCCTGGGAGGTTTCCTCACTGGAGCCAGTGCAATCAAGAGGCTACTTAAATCACTCTGTATTCCACCATGAAAAACAGTTTCATATGCCCCATCCCTGGAAGTGTCCAAGGCCAGGTTGGATGGGGCTTGGAGCAACCTGGGATAGTGGAAGGTGTCCCTGCCCATGGAAAGGAGTGGAACCGGATAGACTTTAAGGTCCCTCCACACCTAAACTGTTCCAAAATTCCATGATTCTATAATATCTTGTTTTCCAAATGGTAATTAAATTATTCTGCAAGTGGTGCATGGAAGGTGGTTCTGCATCACTCTCACAGCACTCAAAGCTGTGCTTCTGCAAACAGTGCCTTGAAAAACGGCTCCTGCTGTTCTGGAGCCAAAGTAAAACACCGACGCGAGCAAAGCTTTGACGCACACATTGCCAAAAGCCCTGTGAGGGACCCCAAAGGGTCCCAGCTGCAGCCCTGCTCCTTCGGAGCCAGTGGGACTGAGCCAGCTCACAGCCGGGTTGGGAAAGAGTTTTGGCATCAGCCACGGGAGGATGGAGGTTTTTAGGGGCAACAGCTGACAAAGCTTTGACACCATGCTCGTCAGAAGACATCCTCCCCAGAGGTCTGCAGGGCTGAGAGAGGCCAGATGGTGCAGAGGCAACTTCCCGGAGAAACACCAGGTTCTTGGAAACCTGCAAAAGGCCTGGCGAGGGTGAGATCACAGAACTACAAAGTGGACAGGGACACATTCCACTATCCCAGGTTGCTCCAAGCCCCATCCAAACCGGCCTTGGACAATGCCAGGGATGGGGCAGCCACAGCTTCTCTGGGCAACCTGTGCCAGGGCCTCACCACCCTCACAGGGAAGAATATCTTCCCAATATCCAATCTAAATCTACCCCCCTGTGGAAGTGGGGTCCAGGCTGTCTGTGGGTCCCTCCCACCTCGCCAGCTCACTTTTGGCAGAACTGCAGCTGTGCTGGTGCTGTCAGAAGCTGCTAAATCCTGCTGGTACCACTGTGCTGAGGGATCCCTGGAGCACATTCCTGGTGAAAACCACGTCAAGAGATTGTTTACTTTCCCCATTGCCGGTGCCACAGACTGCACTGGGTGTTTCCTAGCAGTGTGTGTGGAGGATTCAAAGGTTAGTGAGGTTGTGTTCTGACAGCGCTGGTGTTCACTAGAAGGGGAATGGCAAGAGTGCAATCCCTGTGGAGACAGGGAAAACAGACAACTGCATCCATCCACGGAGGGATTCTGCTCCTCTGCCCTGCTCAGGTGAGATCCCACCTGCAGTGCTGCCTCCAGCTCTGGGGAACAACAGCAGAAGGGCATGGAACAAGTCCAGAGGAGGCCACAGAGATGCTCTGAGTGCTGCAGCCCCTCTGCTCTGGAGAGAGCTGGGGGTGTTCACCCGGAGAAGAGAAGGCTCCAGGGACAACTTAGAGCCCCTGCCAGTGCCTAAAGGGGCTCCAAGAGAGCTGGAGAGGGACTTTGGAGAACGGCCTGCACGGACAGGCCAAGGGGGAATGGCTTCCCACTGCCAGAGGACAAGGTCAGATGGGATATTGGGAAGGAATTGACCGTGAGGGTGGTGAGGCCGTGGCACAGGTTGCCCAGAGAAGCTGTGGCTGCCCCATCCCTGGAAGTGTCCAAGGCCAGGTTGGAGCAACCTGGGCTAGTGGAAGGTGTCCCTGCCCACGGCAGGGGGTGGAACGAGTCGGTCTCAGGTCCCTCCCATGCCAAACTATTCCCTGTCCCGGCTCCCGGCGCCGAGCGGGGTCAGGCCCGGCCGGGCTCGGCAACGCGTGGGCGGGGCCTCATTTGCATAACCCAATAGAAGGGCGATATGCAAATCGCGGCGGCGCGGGTTGGCCGGGGCGCGGCAGGGGCAGCGCGCGCGGGGCGCCTTTGTCCGGCACGGGCGGCAGGGCCGGAGCGGCCGCAGCGACGCCGGGGACGGGGCTGTCCCTGTCGCCGTGTCCGTGTCCCCGTGTCCGTCCCTGCCCCGCGGCCCCGTGATGACTCTGGAGGAGCTGCCCGGGGAGCGCCGTGCCGCCGGGAGGTGAGGCCGGGGGGGGCGGAGGGAGGTGCGGGGATCGCTGCGGTGCGGGGTCCCCGTGACGGGCGTTTGTCCCGGCGCAGGATGGAGCAGGCGGGGGACGCGCTGGAGGAGGTGCTGAGCAAGGCGCTGAGCCAGCGGAGTCTCACCCTCGGCGTCTACGAAGCGGCCAAGCTGCTCAACGTGTGAGTGACCTCCCCTTTGCCCCCGTTCCCCCTTGCCCGGTGTCCCCTCCGGGTGACGGCGGTTTCCCCTCAGGGACCCCGATAACGTGGTGCTGTGCCTGCTGGCGGCCGAGGAGGAGGAGGCGGGGGACGCGGCGCTGCAGATCCACTTCACGCTGCTGCGGGCCTTCTGCTGCGAGAACGACATCAACATCCTGCGCGTCAGCAACCCGGCGCGCCTGGCGCAGCTGCTGCTGCCCGCCGCGGGCCCCGACCCGCCCGCGGACCTGCACTGCGTGCTCGTCACGGTGAGCACGGGGGGCACGGACGGACAGTCGGGGCCCCCCGCAACTCGCCGTGCCCGGGGCTCGAACCCGCGGACTCAGCGCGCCCGCACCGGGAGCTGCGCGGTGCTTCCCACGCCCCAGGGAAAACGGGGTCCTTCTTCCCTCTCCTTTATTTTCCCCTCTTTCTCCTTTGTTTCCCCCTCTTTCTCCTTTTAGTTTGTTCTTTCTTTCCCTCTTATTTCTTCCTTTTCTTTTTTCCCCATTTCTTTCCCGATTCTCCCCTTTTTCTTTCCCCCTTTCTTTCCCTCTTTACCCCCTTTTTCTTTCTCCCTCCTCCCCCCTTTATTCCCTTCTTCCCCCCTTTTTCTTCCCTACTTTTTTCCCCTTTTTCTTTCCATTTCTTCCCATCTTTTTTTTTCCTTTCCCTCCGCTGCCCCAGAGTCCAAAACTACAAAACTCCTCACATGCTTCCCGGCTTGACTTGTTTGTTTGCCTCGGTGGCAATTTAAGATGATTCACACTCCTGGACTTTTCTGCTGTGCTTTTTTTTTTCCCCCTACTGCCCTGTGCAGGCTGTTTTTGCTGCCGTGTCCAAGCCTTCCCCCATTCCCTTTCCAGAACCCCCAGGCCTCGCAGTGGAAGGATCCAGCGCTGAGTCAGCTGATGTGTTTCTGCCGGGAGAGCCGGTACCTGGATCAGTGGGTGCCGGTGATCAACCTCCCGGAGCGGTGACCGCTGGAGCCCATCCCGATCCCGATTGCACTGGAGTGTTGCAAGACTTTCGCAGTTGCTCAGGAAGTAACTCCCTGCCCTGGCACTGGGATTCCGGGGGAGGAAAAATAAAACCCAACAAAAAAAATAAAAGCTAAAACTGACGTCGGGGGGGGGTTTGGCTGCAGTGGAGCGACGTGTTGTGTGGGGCTGGAGCAGAGAGATGCTGGAGTGGTGGGAATGAGTGAGGAAGTGAAGGAAAAGTGGCAGGATGAGCCCAGCCTGACATGCCAAGGGTGCTCATGTCCCTCGCCGAAAATACCCTTCACTTTCTATCCTTAAGTGCAACTTAAAATTCCTGTTTTGAACACCTTAAAGAGCAAAAATCGAGGCATTTTGCCAACAATGTTATTGTATTTTTGGGATGTTAATTCTCATGTTTTTATGCTAAGATATATAATAATTATAAGTTATTTTCTGATATCGATGGGAAAATTATTTATATTTGGAGGTTTGAGAACCGAAATGCCCTTAAGCTGTTGGTCTGCAACCACAAATCTCTTACCAGTTGGCTGCAAAAGCAGCAACATTAATATAATTGTTTGAAATTTGAGTGTTCTTTGGGGGGGTTTGGTGTTTCTGTTTTGTGTTTTCTTTTTTTTGAAATAAAGTTTCCAATCAAACCTTTGGCCCAGGGTTTTATTTCCTTGCTCCATTAGTGCACAGGCAAAAGGGCTCAGCAGCAGCTGCTTCCTTGTCCTGGCAGCGGGCAAGGTCCTGTTGTGCTGCTCCGTGTGGGTTTATTCCCAGCTCCTCCCAAGCCATTAAATGCCAAAGCAGCCGATGTGCTGCAGGAAATGTTGGGAATGTTATTTATTTATTTTGCTTGAATGCTGCAACAACAGGAGCTAAGAAAAAGAGAGGCAGCTTTATTGCAGAGACTCCAACCCTCCTGCAGCACCTGAGTCTTCTTGGAAGGGGGGGGGGAAACCTGATTCCTTGGTGGAGGAAAACTTGACCTGATGTTTCCTTGCACCACAGACTCTGCAAATGCTCCTGGATTTTTTCCCTATGCACCCTCAGCACAGCCCGTGCCCACCAGGGTTGGGAGGTCTCTGTGCCAGGCTTCTCTGTAATTACAACTCCAGGCTGGCACACAGCAGAGATTTCTCCATGTGGCAGGAAAACAGCCTCTCCTGCCCACACTGCCAGCAGTGCCCGGAGGGCAGGCCACGGGGACACCACTGACCCACATTGGACATCCCTAACGGCACGTGTGTGACCCCACAGCAGTGGCACCAGGGGGTCAGTGTCCCCAGCCCCAGCAGGATTGGTGCCAGCCTAGCCAGGTGGTGAGGCTGGACCAGTTCTCCCACTCCCGGACACTGGCCCAAGGCCACCCATCCCTATCCATGTCCGGCACGTAGCTCAGGACCAGGCAGGTGCCATCCTGTGCCCTGGGACGCTGCAGGAGCAGCATCACCATATTTGCTGTTTCTCCAAGCTCAAACTCAATCCAGCTCCCCCTGAACCCCTAATTTCTCTCAGTCACCCCTCCAGCCCCTGTCCCCACACTACAAACTGGCCAAGACCTCTGGGTGGACCTGGGGGCACATGGCCCAGCACACAGCCATGCACCCAAATGCTTGTTTTTTTCCCCAAAATCAGCCAGCTTGGCCAAGGGGAGAGAGGGGCAGCATGACGATGCACCATGGTGGGGTGGCACGGCAATGCGGCACGGTGGGGCATCCCCATGGCACCCCACAGCTTTCTCTCAGCACCTGTGGATAGCCTCATTTCTCCTTTTTTAGAAAATTCTACAAGAACAGAGGCTGTATTTCCCCTAAATTTTACAATTCCTGGGTTTTGTCCTGGGAATCCTTACAGCAAAAAGCGAAATGCAAACGTAACAGCTCCAGATTTCACATGTCCCTATATATTATATATAAAAAATAGTGAGTTTACTGAATATCTATAGATTAAATGCTGTCAGATGCAAGCTGATGTGCTGGATCACCAGAGTCTCACAGCTGGATTTCTGGCTGGATCACACAGCTGGATCACCATCCAGAGCCTCACGGCTGGATCACCCACCAGGGCCCCACATCTGGATCACAATCCAGGGTCCCAGAGCTGGATCACCATCCAGCCCTCATGGTGAGCTTTATTCAAGGGCAAACACAAAGAAGGCAGACACAAAGAGCCCCCCTGCAGCCACAATGGGGAGCTGGTTTTGGGTTGGGAGCAGGGATCTCTAACCAAATAAACCTGCAGATTCCTGTGGGAACACCAGATTCCTGGGAAGACAATAATCAGGCAACAGTATGAGGTTCTTTCCCTCCCTGCACCCCATGTACCTGCCTGGCTACCTCTGGGCACAGCTGGAATTCTCAACAGCTACAGCCTTGCAGCCCCAAACTGAGTAATTAACTGAGCTCATTAATTCTACCTATGTGTGTGATAAAATGATAGACACAAACACAATAAAAAAGAATCAGTGTGGAGCTACATTATTGTTTTCTTCAATTGCCTCTAGAAAAATACTCTATAAAAATAATCTGCATGTAAGCACAGGATAAGCAGCACAATTCTCTGTCAGGCTGATTTTGGAGCTCTTTGTCAAAGAGGCTTGTTAAACAAAGATATAGGTTCTCAATATATATCAATAGTGAGTCTATAATTTCATATAGAAATGACAAATATGCAACATAAATGACAAGTAGTTAATAAAGTCTGTAAATATCCTCACAGAAATGCACAGTTATGGCAGATCACAACTTCAGCAGGATGCAGAAAAGGACATTTGCAGCCAGCTGAAGTCAGTATTATTTTCAAACCCTTCCAAATTTGCTGTTAATATGCAATATTTGCATAAGTACAAAGTTTATGTATATATATATACACAGGCACACGAAGAAAGACTTTTTTATTATGTGTATATATAAAATATATACTTGATGAAAAGGCCCTCCATTTATAAATGCAGAACCACAAGCTGAATATAATTTGGCATTTTTCCCCTTTAAAAATGAATTTTTTTTTTAAAAAGAGTCAAATTCTGACTCCCTGCACAGAATGTGACAGGGATTGAGAGTGAGGGCAGCATTCTTTCCTGCCAGGGCAGTTCCAGACTTCCATTCTTTTGACAGGATGGTTTTTATACTAACAGGGATTTTAAATTAGAGAGGAAAATGCAGAGCAGCAGAACCCAAGCTGAAAATTCTGCTTTTTCAACTCTTAAAAAACAGAAAAAGCAATCTGCAGGTCTCTGATTCTCAACTCTCCACTGGGAAGAGAGGCCAGCAGAAGGAAGGTTGTGGCACAGCTCCCTGGAGCTCCTCAGCAGCTGCTACAATCATTTTGCAAGGTAGTTTTTTT